CTTTGATCTATCTTCTTTGGCTCTTCATCTTGATTTGCATTTCCACTATCTTCATTGTCATTATCTTCTTCTTCTTTCTTTCTTAAAATTAAAGATGTATCCATAAATATGCCATTACTTCTATTTGAATACATCTCTAAGTATTTATAAGTATTCTTATATTTCAAAAACTCTTCATCACAAATTTTAATATTTTTCGTGGTATCTAAATATATTAGCCTATATGCCTTAATACCTTTATAATATCCAACAAACATATATTTTATATTTTTTGCATCAAATTTGGACTTCATATAATCTAGTACTATTGCATAGATAATTCATCCAAAAGTCCTCATGTATGAAATATAAGGTTTTTTACTACTTTAAGCTTCTTGTGGAGTCATTGATGTGAATACACTTTTGGGGCACCAATTCTTTGTATATACTACATTTACCATGGCTTTTGTCTAAAATTAATGCCTAAGATTTTAGGCATAAATTATATTCTTTATCATCTCTACAATAGTGTAACTTTTTCTTTTAACAATTCCATTTTATTATGAAATGTAAGAAATAGAGGTTTAACTTGAGATACCTTAAATCTTCAAGAATTTATCAAAATACTTTGATATATATATATATATATATATATATATATGTATTCTCTTCTATTTTTTGTGCACAGTACTTTAATCTTTCATTCACATTGTTTCTCCACAAATGCCTTAAATTTCTTAAATCTTGAAAAATATTCATTCTTGATTTTAAAGATATAAATCTACACCTTCTCTGAAAAATCATCAATAAATGTTATCAAGTACCTTACTTTTTCAATTGATGGCATCTTCATCGGTCTATAGATATTAAAATATACAATCTCTAATAACTTGATTGTACATATTGTATTTCTATTTAAAAATAAAGTTTTTTATTATTTGACTTGTATACAACCTTAATAAGTAAGTGTCATGGTATTGTATCTAAATTGACTAAGTTCCAAGCCACTTACTATAGATTGGAATTCCTTCATACTTTTGACATTTAAATAATCAAATCATTGATGCTAAATCTTAAATTTGTTTTGATCTTTTGGAAACTCAACAAATGCTATGTCTTCAATTTTATTGATCTTTTTACAAATAATAAAGTAAATATTTCCATCTCTAAAGCCTTTGACAACATCTTATCTATCCAATGTCTTTATATAATACATATTCATGTTAAATTGAACCTTACAACCATGTAATATAAGTTTGTTTATTGAATGAAGGTTTTTCTTTTCATCTTTGGTACATATAAGACTTTTGTCAATATGATCTTTTTGATTTGGTCCTTCAAAACAATCTCCACTATAATAGAGCTAATTTCAATGGCTTGTACTATGCCATTGTCTTCCAACTAAACTTTTATTGCTCAAATTTCTTCATAAGTGTTAAATAAATACTTTCATTATATCATGTGTTCAGTAGTACCTAAATCTATAATCTATTTATATATGGTGGCCATAAAGGCTCCTTCATTTGCCATAAAAGCATTATCATCTCCATCAAAGTTATTACAAGTATTATTTATATTTTTTCTATTTATTTTTATTTTATTTTGTTTTTTTTTTTTAAAAAAATTGTAGCAATTTCTTATAAACTAACATGGTTTTTTACAAATATAAAAAAAATCATATTACTTCTTATATTATCATCTTGGTTAAAATAGCTATCTTTACCTTATTTAAAAAAAAAATCAAATCTTCAATTTAAAGACCATTTTCTTTCTTCTTAGTCACTTTATGGGTAAGTCTTGACATGCCATAGTCCAATGCAAGCTCTTTGATTTTGATGGATTTCAATGCTATAATGATGTAGTTGTAGAATTGTAAAAGGCTCATAAACAATGTTATCATAATGTCATAATCTTCAACAAACTTATCAATAATTACTTGTTGGTTTGTAAATGCTTTTACTTTGTTGACATGAGCCATGAGGTCATTTCTTTCTTCCATCTTTATGGTTAAGAACTTATTCTTTTTCCATAGAACATTGGCAAGGTTTCTACTCTCATACATGTTCCAAAGAATCTTCTATGTTTCTCCTATTCTTTAACAAGCAATTATGTGTAAAAAGTTAGCATCATCAAGATTAGTTGTAATCAGTCTAAAAGCCTTCTTTTCACAATATTTATATTCTTTTTTTTTTCTTGACATTAGCTTTGTTACTTAGACCATCCTCACTTTCATCTATAATATCTCAAAAATTCAATAAAACCAACAAAAGCTTCATTTTTTTCTTCCAATGGTAGAAGTTGTCACTTCTAAACTTCTCAATCACTCTCAAGTCTTCACTATGATTTGAAGCCATATCTAAGAATGAAATGTATAAAAAAGATTAAAAAAAGAAGTAATAGAGCTTTCAAAATCAAGATAAAGATGTTATTGCCTAATAAATCCAAAATGCCCTCTTTATAAACAAACTAGTAATTTTACTCTTAAATCACTTTCAACTTTACTTATAAGACTTCTCACGAGACTTATATTCTATCTTAACTTCATCTATAAGCTTTGTCCTTCTTCAATTACCTCTAATCTCACAAAAAAAAATTAATTTCATAAAACACTTCTTATCTTTGTAAGAGGTCTTTTAAGAACTTCAATACATAAATGCATAATGTAAGTGCACCAATGATATAACTCAACAAAAAAATACAACACTAATATTCCAAAATATTACTCTAAGGTATTTAACAACCTCCAAGATCATGTATGCTCTTAATAATAAGTGAGAGAAAAACTACATCAACAACTAGATACAAAAGCAAGATTAAAAGATATCAAATACTAATATCAACAATAACCATAAGATTTACTCTTTTTAATAAGAAAGATTTCAAAGAACTTCAAATCTCACAAGCAAATATAAGTGGGCCTATAATCTATTGAAGAAAGACAACTTTGAAGTTACAACACATAGCATCATGAAGGTTGTACACAAAGAGAGTAAAGAGTAAGATAACTCTCACTTCTAACATCCATTACTTATAGATGGTAGTTATTATTCTTAATAACAACTTCCATCCTTTGGCTTTTACATCTATTTGAAAATATACCAAGTATATCTTTTAGCATCTTATCAAATATAAAGAATTGTCTTTAGCATATCTTTTATGTTTGTAGGATCCTTTGCAAATTCATCTATGTCAAAGATATCCTACATCATATATTTTATATCCTTCTTTAGTTATTGAATATTTTCTAGTTGTTCCTTTATCTTCTTAATCTTGACTCTTGGCCTTTATTTATGGGATGCCTTTCTACATGCCAAGAATCAATCGTTTGACCATTAATAACTTACTTAAGATAATATCATCTTCAAGGTATCTTATTCTATTTTCATTTTTACTTACTTACTTCAACAAGAAGATCATCTCTATTCATCAATTTCTTAAATTTGTATTTTTGGAGTTACTTTCTTCTATCATGAATGTTGATTAGTAAATAAGAAATGTGAAGGTATTCTGGTTGATTGTGGGGTAGAATAATCCCAATTCTCTAATATAAGACTAGCTTCAAAATCTATTTGGTAGACATTGAAGACAAATTTATTACAGTCTAAGGATGACTTTCTTCAAATTGACACGGAATATATGATATGGAACAATAAGAGAAAAAATGGATTGATCTAAGATTTATTAAGATTAATTCAATATATATATATATATATATATATATATATATTTTCTGAACAATACTATTGGACAATTTATTATAAAGTTGTGAAATTTTGATATTTAGAAGATTTTGATAAAAATCTTCTGTTTAAAATACAGGTGCCATACATATTAATAATTTTCAGCCATATCCTACTTACATTATTACTTGTAATGATTATTATATATCAAGTATTATATTTTCTTATGATTTAAATAAACTTCCAATACACTATGTTTTGATGTTTAATTTCTTGATTTATATTGTAAAACTTTACTGTGGTATAATTGCAATTTTAGTTCCAGTAGTGAGTAACCCATGGTTTTCATCAATATAATTACGATCCATGTGTAAATTAAAATCAAAGGCCAAATTTTTATGCTGTATATGCATAATATATCTTGTGTTTTTTTATTTATATATATCTAACATCAATATCAATACAAAGTTACACTGCAAATCATCCCTGTAACAATATTAATTGACACTCTCTCCTAAAGCTTCTAAAGCCCTGCATTTAAACCCATCACAATTAACAACTTTAAAAAAAAATTAAAAAAAAAAAAAAAAAAAAAAAAAAAATTACACTCGACAGCTTTGAAATGCATAATCTCAAATCAAAATCACCAGAGCGATTCTTATACAAATGACAGCCAAAAGTAAGCTAACTGAAGCACAGATATTCAACAAAAATGTTCTTCATCCCTGAACTGCAACACTGAGGATCAACAAAGCTCATCACTACTGCAGTCATTTCGACGATGCTGATCACTGCAATAAGTCAAATCTGCAGATTTGTTCATCATTTGGATCGGAAATCAAGCATTATATCGTGGTCTCAACTGTTTACCGACAAGGCCCATGAGTTGGTTACCGACCCTCATCTTACCCTGTAATTACAATTGCCTGTTCCTTTTGTTCTCCTTCTTTTTCAACTTTTTTTTTTTTTTTTTTTTCTTTTCTTTTTTTGTTAACAGTAACGGGATTCCATAGGCCTGTTTCGAATTGCTGTAACTTCACCAAGAAATTTGCAGATTTTCAGATGGTCCTTAACGGTGCCTGCGGTACAGTTCATTGTTCTTCGGGATTTCAGGGAGTTCAGTGAGCTGCGTGTTTGAATGATGCTTCGGTAATGAATAGATTCGTGTGAACCGAATTTTTCTAGTGTACGAGTACGGCATAAGTATTGATTGAGGCTGCATGGATCTGTGAACGAATACGAATCGGAGCTGCGAGCTCTAAGGCTACCCTGTCAACTAAGTAGGTTTGATGTGCGAGCTGAGAATGTAAAGATGTCAGTAGCACTGGAGAATGTGCACACTTGAGGCGAATCTGGATCTTAGCATTTTTCTGAAAGCCCGGTTCTCTTTTTAAGAGTTCGTCGATATTTTTACATTGCAGCCCCTGACCCGGAGAACCCAGCAACTGACCTTGCGCGTTCACCAGATCTAGCCTCACTAGAAATACAAAGGCTGATCATGGAGACTCCCACAGTCCAAGTTCTTGGAATATTTACTCTTAACTCAGATACCTTTAATTCCCTAGTCTGAAGTGCCACGCTTGTGCCATGCGTGCCCTACTGCGCTAAACTACGCTTTTATTGAACAAACAGCCAAATCTAGATTGCTAAGCGTGCAGATGATTTGCTGTCTCGGGTGGAATCACTTGGATCCAGTCTGGTCGACACCCGAAGACGGATTGACCAGATGACCCCATCTGCGTTTACTACTTTCAGCTCTTATATTGATGTTCTAGAGAACTCAACCCCAAGCTCGCCAACGGACCACAACCCCACTCCCCTAATCTTGCCACATTTAGAAGCCACGAAAAACCTTTCCCATTGCATGACCTCAAGAATCCAAGATGCCCCTCTTCACTATGTCTGCAGAGACCACGAGCTCTCAGACATCCATAGCCACGTCACGAAAGGCAACAATTGACTCTTCTGCTCTGAATTCTATTTTACTTCGGCATTTGGTAGTCCATTCGACAGTGCCGATACAGATTTGCACCGACGCTCACTCCAGGACTTGGTGTGCATAATTGACTGTTCACCTTTCACAGAACTCTCGTCGCTCGGCACAGGCGTCCTCTTCAATACAAGGGCGGGAGAAGGTTCTTCGCCACCACACTTCGAATGCTTTCTGTAGATTGGGGCAGTCATCGCCGGAGCTAGAGAATCGGTCGAACCACGAGAGCAAGATACTCTGCTGTTGCTTCAATGGGAGAGTAAGGATTGTTTGGCTGATTCCTTCCTCAACCACCTTCTTGTCCAAACTGCGGCAGCATCTTTGCATCCACGCAAAATCGTCCACCAGAGGCTGGAGCCAGGTTTGCAGCAGAAGGAACCTCACGTCCTTAGGAGACAGAACCTGTCCATCAACACGTAGCTTTGACCTGGTGAGATGTTGTGGTTAACGTCAGTTACACCTTAATTCAACTATCAGTTCTGTGCCTATATTTTTCGAAAGATATATTATTGAAAGACCATATGTAGAGGACTAAACTAAAAACGAGATTTGATTGTCTTGCCTGGCCTTTGCCGATTGCAATGCACAAACGGGCGGTGAGACGGCTGACTTCGTAACGAAACATCACTGGCACCTTCGCGTGTAAGTTCGCAAGCTCAGCTTGATGAGCCCACATGCGCACAAAGTCATCAGCAATTCTTCGGTCTATCAAAATGTCCACCAACCAATGCAAGTTGTCTGCTTGTCGGGAAATCTCGATCAGCATTCCTCTATCGTCGCCACTCTTGGACTGCGTTCCACATGTTGGAACAATATTAATGAATTGTGTACTCACGGGATGAGACAGTGAGTCGTAAGGAATTGGGTTACAATGGGTTTGGTCGCTTCAAGAATAGATCACATCAACGTGGACACAATCAGGTTCGTAGACATACCTGCATGAACAGATGAAGTAGAGAGTCGAGACATGCATGGCAAGCTCGATATAAGCTCTCCTTACTGACATCGACAGTGTTCTTGTTCTGCGACATGTTCTCTCGAAGCATTCTTGAAACGAGGGATTTCATTTCTCTTCGAGCCTTGTCGTCAGTTCCTGAGAGTTACAAGACAACTAATATTTAGAAATCAATCAGGCACTGCGTCATGTAAGTGCAAGAATAATTCGCATGATGCTGCAAGAATGAATCCGTGGCACATAGCATGGCAGACCTTTAGTGACGGCCTGCAAGAGCCGAACTAGAACATCTTCAGAGTTGGTGCTCTCAAGGGCAGAGCACCGCTTCATCACGTCTGCAGCAACGCCCACACTCTCTAGCTGCAGCTGCCCCATCAGCGCAGTCACCTTCTCCTCCTCCTCATCAGCCCATGGGACAGCCTCTAGGTACTCAAGGCAAGCAAAGACACCTCCCTCGAACATAATGTGAGCCGAGAGCTGAGACCACACACGAGCAACATTGACAACTTTAATACTCTGGTTCCCGTTGCTACGGGGCACTGGATATGGCGATGAACTGTTTAAATCGATCATTTTGGAACAGAGATCATAAGATGTGAGCCGGAGCGTGACGTACCTTGAGAATGCCAAGGACCCGACTCACATTTTCCTTCATGAGGCTCTTCTTGACATCTTCACAATACATGAGTCGCAGTGTTTCAAGGTATATTTCAACGTCGTCAATGTCGGTGATCTCAATAAGGTTGGAATTCGTTCGTTGCTGTTTCGACCATCTATCCGACAGCTTGGCTGCGAAGAACCGGCTGTGAGTTACTAAAATGTGTCGATGAACGTTCACAGTGACGCTGTAGCCTTCTCGGTTGTTCAAAATCAATTTCAAGTCGCTTGTATTTGTGGCGTTGAACTGGTTTCCGGGGCTCGTTCCTGGTCGTCACGAGAAAGCCACACATTACGTAAGTTAGGACAGAATAAATTTCACCAAAGCACTCGGAGAAACACGTAAGTGAATTTTTTTGACCTCCCCCCTAGCTCAACTATTAATCAATCCTAATTAGAAATTCCAGAATAAAACGTGGACAACAGCAGTGTCCCACACCTGAAAGAGGTTGGCTATGCTGTCGTGCAAAGTCTACATCTGAGTTCTATCTCCGTAGACCTCCGCATTGGCGTTAGAAAATTCATTTAGAGCAGCTGGAGTTTCATTGGCGATGGCATGAGTACCTACAGTGGATTTGTGTGGAATTTCAGGTCCCTACAGTACCTGAGAGGATGGACTTCATCTTCTCTTGAAATGTAAGCTGCTGGCTTAGAGATATGGTGTGAACAGCTTTCGGTCCCAATTCCTGCTCGTGGGTCATCATCTCAAACAGAGTAGGGGAGGCTTTGATCTTGTCCACTGGGGGCGAACTTGACACCCCCGAGGATGAGTTCTGCATCTTCGCTGCCGACGTCAAGTTGTAATTCGACATCGAGAACACAGCACTCGTCACTGTTTGTTGATGTTGCGCGGCAGGTACGGCAGATATAGAAGCCGGCGGAGGCACCACTTCCACCACCGGCGACACCTTTCCTGGAGACAGCCGTGGCCGAAACACAGGTGAGCTACCGGACGTAGACACACTCCGCTCAAAGCTGCCACTAAAGTTCTTCACCATGGATCCAACGTCCCCGCTCTTCACCTCGCCACTTCCTTTCTTGCCTCCCTTACGCCCTTTCCCCCCTCTCACACCCCCACCCCTAGGTGGTGGAGTCACAGCCCCTGACCGGTTCATGCAGCCGCACCAGCTCCCAAATCCCCCATCAAAATCATCCCCCTGGTACACCACATTGCTCTGCTCAACACTTCTACCAGACTTCGACATGTCGCCCTTGCCACTGCGCCCGCTCCCCTGCGCCCGCGAGCTCCACTCCTGCTGCAAAATATCGGCACTTCCCCCTGCTCCGTCTACATTTCCGCTGCTCCCATACAGCACTCCGCTTGTGGGTCTCCCGCGTGCTTGCTGGTGCTGGTATGCTTTCCGAGGCTGCAACTGCTGCCATGCAGGCGGGCGGGACACCACTGCCATGTCCCTCCCCGACCTCAATTGCTCTACCTTTCTCTCTCACCTTCACCCTCCTTTAACTCTCCAACTCTAAGTTCTGATAATGCGTTAGACGATCAGCTGCGGCGCCATCCCAGGTGCAGCTCGTGATGATGACGATGATGGTGCTGATGATGCTCTGCTTTAGAATGAGTTGGGTAGTGGTCTGGTGCTCTGCCGCGACGCTGTGTACCGTTGAGTCTGCCTCCAGGGTCAGACTGCAGATCGCACAGCACCCGTCAGTGGTCGCGCGTGCGAGCTCGGCCGCGGCCACTGGCCCCACTTCTCTCTCATGCTCGCGCTGCCACTTCCTATCTGGCGTCGTAATTTTGCTCCTGGTGATCATGGTTCCATATCCCGTGGTTTGTTTCTGCTATCTTGTTTTCTACTGTTTTTTTCTTCTTTTCTTATTTATTCGTTTTCCTGTGCAGGAAACTTGTGGCTGCAGCGTCTGATCATTATGCTCATCATAAACCCTGCACCCACGACAGCAGATTGTAAATGTACTCCTCTGTCTTTATCTGCTTTCTCCACTTGATCTACGCAACCAACAGAAAAGCAAGTCGAAATTTCATGCTGCTCACTCATGAGCCTGATGACTCATGATACTGATTCATTTTTTCCACGCTGTCAAAGTGGCAGTCACGTACCAATGTACTTGGCGGTCCGACAGAGCCACCAAATCCATACACAAGTGCCGCTTCAACCTTTTCTAAGAGGAACCACCCGAAACTGGTCGACACCCACCTCTTCAACACGGCTTCGTCATCACCAAAAATCAGTTGCAGCTTTCTGATTCAACCCTAACGAAGCGGTTTCAAGAACCTCGAATCCATCGACGACCACCTCTCGGTGCTTTCCAGCGACTCCTGTAGTTTAAGCTTGTCACACTCGTGGCTCTTTTGCATGGGCATCAGCGTTTTTATTTTCCTGTAATACAAAGACCGTGTGTGGGGGAAGAGTTGCATGAGTCACAAGCCTGGTCGAGCACAGTCGCAATCAGACAGCTCCAATCCCCGTAATCTGCGAAGCAAAACACGTGCTCTGCGCACAGCATCCCAGAAGAGAGCCACCATCTTCTTCATCCAACTCCATTTTGAAGCGAACTCCTGGAGTCAAGTCGAAGCTCAAAACTCACCCACAAAAACAGTTGCAGAGTTGCAGGATTAAAGCCAGGCAGACAGTAATTAAGTACTGGTAGAAGATCACTTAACTCATGAGCACTTAAGTTGGATTCCTCAACATGGAGGCCATCCAGTGTAGATAAGCTTTGCAAGGTGACATGATGCGTCAATTCAGAAAATACCATTCAGGCCTAGCAGAGTTTAGGGTGGGGAATTTAGGGCTTGTGATTGGACTTCAGGATTAGGGTTTGGGATTTCAGATGCACCTCTTTGCGGGGTTTGTGAAATGCACATTAACCCTAAAAGTTCTACCTTGGAATATTATGGAAAACATATGTCCAATTTAAATTCTTCAACTTCTTTATAAAGCCTAGTGCCCTTGTTTGAGAAAGTAAAGTGATTTCGGATACATTTGCAATGAATTTAAAGGAATCATGTTCAGGAAAACTCTTAAAACGAAGCAAAGAATTCAGATGCATTACCTTTATCACATGATTGATTTAACTATCATCGGAATTTGATGATCATATCAAGGAACTGTCAGGTCAACTTACATAGGCTTAAATGAAAAAAGATATCAGAATAAAACGAAAAGGAAGTATTAAAAAATAATTGTGAAAAGAATGGGAATATTATCCATCTGAAGGCATAAAAGATATCATATCATTTTATCATTCATTCAATGCTCTTTCTTTTATTATTATTGGGGAGGGGGGGGGGGTAGACATTAACTCTGTGAAGTGGCAGCACTGAGCACATGGCAGATGGGAATGTCAGAGCCTGGACAGCTTCGGACAGAAGGGACTGAAAGCAACGCTTGACAATGGATGAATAATCATATTACGAATGACACTCGGAACGACATTCGTTCCGGAGACCACAAGTTTGTCTTTCCTCTAGGGACCGATCCGGCGCTCCACAACAAGGGTTCTAATGAATGAAAAGTGGAGAGAGGAGAGGATGAATGAAAAAATCCAGCTGGCGAGGTTGTCTCTTGGTCGTGCATCCACATCCAACAACCTGCTTGGCGGGTACCATGATGTGCTCCGGGTCTCAATAACGGTGCCTGCGGGTACGGAAAACGCCAACTCCTGTCCTTGTGATGACCTGATTTGATACTTGTCCTAGCCATCAATTGTCTGGTGAGCCTTTTTAAGTCTGGCTCAGACCTCCAGCACGCTTGGGCCCAGACCTAATTGCCCCCAGCCTCAGTCCCGATCCCGAGGAGGTCCATATGAGTCATTCTGCTCCTGAATGCAGTCTTCCTGTGTGAAAAGAGACCATTTTCGATATCTTCATATGTTTTGTTTGTTTGTTTGAAGTTCTGGTTTGATTGCCCGTGAGTTTCAGAAATTCTCGTTAAACTTTTTGAATATTGGTTTATTTATTTATGTAATTTATTTCTAATTTTGAATGACAAAGTAACATATATATGTATATATATATATATTTAAACATTCATTTAAATTCACACACACAGACGATTTTGTTATGCAACCCCCTTCTACCCTTTTTGCTTCATATATATATATATATATATACACACAGACACACAACTTGGTTATGCTAACCCCTTCTACCCTTTTTTTTCTTTTTCTGTATATATATATATATATATATATATATATACATTTTTATGTATGCACAGACACATAACTTGGTTGTGCAAACCCCTTCTACCCTTCTTGCTTACTTTAAAATCCAACTTTGGCACCTAATCAGTGAAAAAACTACATAATTCTTCATCCAACATACGTGGTTGAATTTAGACTTTTCAAACTTAAAATTTAAAATCTGAGGAATTTACATACCATGCCTCACACAAGTTAAAGATCGTACATTTCGATTTGCATACAAATAATTCTCAAGTCTACTGAAAATTGTTGGGCTAAGGACTCATACTTCAAATGTAAAATGAAGTAAGATAAAAAGTGCACACTAGATTCATGCAAGTGTCAGCTGTAATTAAAGAGGTAGTACCTCAATGAAACTAGACTTCTTTAATCAGCAAAGGGGTACACCCCCTTATGTTTCAAAAAGAAAAAGAAGGGGGGGAAAAAATTTAAAATCTTCAGAACTGAAAAAGTAAACAAACCAACCTCAACACTATGATACATTCCTATTGAATCATTAGCATTTACTGCAGTACACCGAAGCTCTTTCCACCAAGGCATCCAGTCCAGTTCAACAGCTTTGTTCCTGCACTGGATCCCTCTCGTTATTTCTCCAGGTGACACTAGTTGGACTGCACCCAATTCCTCTGGGTGGACCTGAAAGTTACTATTTGCACGTCATTCAAAATCCTAGTAGGTCGCTGGAGTAAGAAGTATTCAAAGTTAATGTGGAAGTCAAGACTGAAGGGACCCAACTGAAAAGTGGGGAATTGACACAACGGTATGACTACTTGAAAACTTTTCTGTAGTAAATAACAGACCAGCTACAAGCAAGCAGTACTCATGTGGGAAACAATAACGTGAATGCAAGGCCTCAGGTTGTACTCGTGTGAAACTGCACATGACAATTTTCCAGAAACGAGCCACACCTCCGTAGCCGTTGAGCGAAGTTAGCTCTGCTCTGAAACTGAAGCTCCCTTTAAAAGTACAAAAGGGAATTGCAACTTCCTGGAATTATGGTTGGGTTGGGTCACCTAAGGTCGACTCATGTGAGAGAAAAAAAGGACTCTTCTGCCTTCTGAGCCAATTTCCTTGTTTTTACCCTGGACTTCCCAAGCTTCACATATGGCTCCAACTGCTGCAGATGGTGGGTGACCTGCCATGGCTATGCGTCTATTGTGACTTGTACCCTGGAGTCAGCTGCTTGCCTTTCTTATAGCAACAACGAAATTCTACAAGGTAGACATACTGGGCAAGCTTGAAAATTTTATATACACGCCAGAAGTTATATGATTCAAGCCCAGGATTTAGATTCTACGTCTACAGGACCTCCATTGGACACATACTTCACATAAGAATAACCAGAAAGGTAGATGAAAAGCGCAAACAGAAGAATCTTATTCACAGGTCATAGTAATGCCTACGCCACTCAATATTTTGGACCACTGCTTGTTTCGCACAAAGTCAAATTGTAATATGGCGTGAGTGCAGGGAACATCCTCGCTATCTAATTTACAATTCATACACTGATTTTAAAAAGCCTCTCAAAGCATACCCTAGAGGACTTGCAGTTGTACTTCAGTCACATAAGTTCGTGAATTGCTTGACAAAAGTATGAAATCACTTTTGCTTTTTTAAAGTAATCTATGATGCGGCTCCCTGCAGCAATTCCACTATCAAGTTCTTGACATCCCTGCAGGATTTCAGCACTACATTATCAGATAAAGGATTATGTTGTATTGTAACAAGTTAACAGATAGTTTCACCCAATCTGCACAAAGATGATCCAAATGTATCACTAGTATAACCATATATTCATGTGAAGGTTTAACTCCTGAATCAAGCGTAGAACTGGCTACAAACAGTCGCGGCGCTTGCAAACTTGAGCATGGTACTTACTTGCGATCTTGTGCAGGTCTTGGAAATGGAATTCGAAGCTTTACTGGTTTTCCATCATGGCCAGCCTACAATATCCAAAGTACAGTAAAAAATGATCACATAACCGAATAATAAACAAATTCAGAAAAGGTAAATGTAAGGTAAAATTATGTAACAGTCTCTTCTTTCATTTTTTAATTACATAAATAAATAAATAATTTCCTTTAAAAACCTTGACATTAGTTTCACCCCTTAAACAGAGAATGCCAACACAAGAGAACTAACCTCTATATTGAAGCCTAGGCGATCCACTTGCAACATTTTGGCATATTCGATCTGCACTTGGTTATCAGCCAAAATCAGTAAGAGAACCATGTCATATCAAGACTAACAATAGGAGATATAGAAAAGTGGCACTTAGTAACAGTCTATACCACTGATGGAAATCAAAAAAGTGACTGTCTTCATGAATACAGATGGTAAGTTACTACCTTCACTCCCAGCGACTTCTCCGCAATTGACTTGGTTTGATCTGCATGGTCCCGGTTCATATGTCCCTGCACTCAAATCATTCGTAATAAACTATTCAAAACCTAAAATATCATTGATATTCTGTGCAGTAAGAGACTTCGTAGCTCGTGGTTTAGATACTAAAACTAGGAGTAGGAGAGAAAAGCAAAGCGAAGAATAGAGAACACCAATGTAAGTAATCTTAATTCGAGACAAATTTGGGCATAATCCAACGTACGGCAATGGGTGCAGTGAATTGTGCAATAGGGTCAACAGCTCCAGCTAGGTACTCTTCGCCATCGAGCTCTGTAGGATTTGAACCCAAACACATTCGTGATTTTCGTCTTTTTCGTTCTCTTTCTTTTTTTCTTTTTTCTAAACAATGTTTCAGTACTGTTGCAGGTACAAAATTTATAATTACCGTATGGTTTGTTCTTCAAAGCAATTTTATTCATTCTTAGGAGCTTGTAAAAATTTCAAATTGCATCTCTGCTTGAAAGGTTCCAGGTCCAAAAAAAAAACTGGGCAGAATCCTCACCACCAAATGTAACAAAAGCTGTGGCTGATCCAGCAAGATATCTTATCTTCTTAGGCATTATTCGTACCAGCCTAAAATCTCCAAAGTCCACCTGTAAACAAGCAGCCTAGCATAAACGAAACAAGAAAAGTGCTAACAAGGAGACATCAAAAAGCAATTCTCACAGACAGCGAATTAGTTAAGATAATTGGAGTCAAATTAGAGAATGCAGCGGGCCAATGAGGTCTTTACCCAAAAGGCCTGTGGATGTTTCTTCAAATACGATGCTCGCACATTCGCCCACTCAGCATCAGACACCTGCACAACCGTTCAAGTTTGTCACACACCAAATTCGATCAACTTCTTCAAACACGTTTTACAAAAGCCCTAAGAATCCCTCATACTTTAAAAATCCGGTTACTATTCAAATACCTATTCATTAAGTATGATATCAGCAACCCCAACAATGGTTAGAATGCTATTATTGCTGCGACGTTCAGATCTATGCAGGTTGCAGATTCAATCATTCTCCCAAAAGCTGCTTACATAATAAGTTGCTGTCTGTGAACTTCTTATTACCTATGGTGCTTTAAAATTACGAAAATCTCAGGATAACGAAATTAGGCACACACTATACGATCTGACTCACCATTTCAGCGTCGCCAATAATGGTAACAACAGTGTCACTTATATCGCCTGCATCCCTAGCAACAAGCAGTGAGCATTTTGGATTTGTCTCCAGATCCTGCAAAATCACGCAGTTGGATAAGGTGTTGTATCTTAAAGGTAATCAAGAAGGCCGAGTTAACATTGAACCTATTCGTGTGCTGAAATAAGAAAATCCATTCATGAATTCAGATTGAAAGTAGTGAACACTCTTCCTCCATAGAAACTTGGCTGCAAAAAGAGGCAGACACAACCACTGCTCTACTCTCACCATTCATAGAGCATATAAATTGCAATTCACCTTGGTATGAGGCGATAAAGAACTGATCACCAAGATAGGACGGCCACTGTCATCAGTGGCATACAATACCAATGATCCTAAAGGAAATCCATCATACTTCTGCACACATCCATCAAGGTTGAACATCAGCCGATGAAAATTACAAACGAGGAGCTTCGCTGAAACACGGTTGAATCGGCAGTTCTTATATTAACTCCAATCAATCAATGCCATGCTCTATGATAACAAAGAGAAAAATTAAGATCGTCACTATGTGCCACGATCTCCAAAGAGATAATTGGAGGAACGTAAAAGCATGTCCTTCCAACCTTCATCAAGAACACGCTCTGAAAGTCGGATAACTCATTCTCTATTCATGAAAATGGGCGCACCTGCGAGATAGTAGAGAGTGTAGCAGTCGAACTAGTTGCTACAAGGGTGCGTGCGTCATCTACTTTCGACAATCTTGCAGCCGCTTTCTGCAACAAGGTCACTGATAAGTGAAAATAGCTCACATGGCAAAAAGCTCATTACAGATAATGTCCCTTTGATCAAGACGAAGGTGGATAGGGAATTTACTTGGTGAGTCCGAATTTGCTCCCAAAACTTCGTCTCTTCATCCAGTTTTTCATCAGGTATTGCCTGCAGAATGTAAATACAATCCATTATAGATTCAACAATTCTGACGTACTTGAAATAAGAATAAATCATACATCCACAAAACCATTCTAAGTGGCCGACTTAAACTTAAAACACGGACAAATTTGATGATTGCAGAAATGCAGAATTTTTTATGCACGTATTCTTGCCATCAGTTCCACTTCGAGGAGCAGCACCACAGATGAATTGCTAGTTAAGTTCGCATCTCAGACACTATTCCTTTGCAAATTCTTCATGACTCTAATTTGCGTATCCTACACCTAATTCTGCACATTCCTCAGCAATCAACGTAATGGCACGTAATTCAGGCAAAGAACTAAGGCACGAGACCCCAGTATACCAAGCCGACCGCCAACTGGACCATCGAAACTTCGAGGCAGGAGCAGTTTTAAATTACAAACCTCAATACATTCAACGTTACTAAACGTTTAGCACAATATCGACCAAAATTCGCACTCATATCCTGCCAATTCATAGAACTTCATAATCCCATCTCTGTTGGGCACTATGACTGTCGGAAGACGTAGCAGTCTCTGCAATATATGTGGCGGTATTCCCAAGGAATAGGCCGGGAAAGAAATCTAGAATGCCCACCACCCCACCTCGCGAGCGACAAGAATAGTATAATTTGCCCCAACAGAAACGCGCATTAACGGAGCAGGAATCCGCGAGACGAGAAATCCCAAACCCACGAAAGGGGAAATCTCAAACTTTAAACTACAAACGCTCGGAATTGAACGAACCTGTGAAGCAGGGCCCGTCGCGGAGGAAGCCACCATTGAAAATGGGCGCGAGGACCGCACCCGCAAGGCCCCATCGCCCAACGTTGAATCTCCTGTGTGGCGAACCCACCTGCTCAGACTCCGAGAAGAGCAATCCCGTAAAAGACAGCCATGGCGCAATTCCCTCCCGCTCGCTGCAACAGAAGCCTGAGCTCCTTGCGAAAAGCCTCGCCACGTCGTCGCCACCGTTGCGGAAGCAGCCACGCGCGGACAAGTCGAGAGCGGCACTGCGATCCTGATCGCCATAGCGCCACCAATTTCAGGAATTCGTATCAATGCGGCAACAAAATTCCTGCGTTTCTTCAGCAATTGCGTGGCTGGCCACCGAGATGATCGAAAGCTGATGGTCCTGGAGCCCCACCTTTGAATGTTAGGCGTCTGCCTCACTCCCACCCCGTGACCGTGGATGGCTCCTACGACCGTGTGGGACCTATTTGCGTTGCAGGCAACTATGGTGGTACCGACTTGTTTGATGGGTGCTTCATTTGGTTGATTATCTGTGATGATATAATTTTGAATTATCATAAAATTGAATCATGAAATGTGCATAAAATGGCACCATTCAGAACTCCTCTTTTTGAGTGTAATTGAAATATAACTCAAACTTTTTGAAGAACAATGCTTATGAATTTTGAGGAATGCCTAGTTGAAGTGCATATTGTGTGTAAAATGTTTGTTGACAAAATTAAATGTGTTGACAAACACAATCCTTGTACTTCAACTTTTATGACGAATTTTATTGAATGTGGTTTGATGTGCAACATGTTTATCATACTTCAAAGATTTTTTTTGTTTTATTCTCTTCATTTTTAAATCTTTGGTATGGGATGTTTTTTATTATCACTTTGATGTATTATTGAAATTTTAAATAATATCAATAGAAGCTAGTTTCTTTTTTAGTACATGATGCTAAAATCAAATAAATACGGATATACAGATAACAATGTTTCAAATTACAGTTATAAAGGAAAATGATCTGACATTATCAAAATTGTATATAAAAATAAACTGGTTTTGAGTTCTCCACAAATATGAAAACATGATTGACCTCAACAGAATAAATAGACATAAAAATGCACTGTTGAGTATACTTCTTCATGTTCATATGCTTATCACTAATCAAATCTGCTCTTGGTTTCATAGATATATAAAGTGAATGTATTTCAAGTATGAACCACATAACTTTCTGTAGTTTTGTAAATATATCATTCATTTAAGATATCAATACCAGGGTTGAAGATAAATTAAACATATCAATTCATTTGATACTAATTTTTGAAAAGATAGATAGATAGATGTCATCACAACTTGCCATTTATTACATACCACCACAACTTGTCTTAAACTTGGACACCACAATATACTTTGATATCTTAAATGGTATTGATATCTTAAATGGTATTGATAACATTAAATATCATTAATGTTAACATCATTAATGATAACATTAAATATCATTAATGATAACATTGATATCAATACCATTAATGTTCACATGCAAATTTTTAAATATCTCAAATGGTATTGATAACATTAATGGTTTAAATTTGAAGCTACAAAATCTATTATAGAAATGGAAGATAGAGTAGGAATATGAATCATACTAGTTGGTAGTTTATTATAATAGTGGTTTAGAGCATGGCAATGCAATCAAGCATACAAGAGCCAATCTTGGTGCCAAAATTAGGCAATTGTGATATAATATATTTATAAATGATTCTTCTACTCTAAAGAGCCTAAAGATAAACCAATGACATCCAATTCCTACCAATTCTTAGTCTAAAAACTTATGAATTTAATTAATTGGCTCAAAACCTCTCAAATGTCAAATAAATTTAATTGATATTGACTCTTAAATATATTCTTAGAAATGCAAGTGAGTGCAAAGATATCATATCAAGATAGATATATTTTTTTTTACAAACATATAAATGAGAGCTTACTTAGTTCCTACAACATATAAGACAAAAAATAATAGAATCTAACCACTTTTTTTGCAAGGATATAAATTACAAATAAACATAATGTCAATACATTCTTTTGTTACTTAAGTAGAATAGATATTCAGTCAAAGATAGTATAATAATAAAATTATAATGGCTATTACTAAAAAAAAAAATAACTAAGAACAAAAAAAGATATTAATAAGAAAGATGAAGACTTTGTTCTTGCCTCTATATATTCTACCTAAATAAAAGTTATATAGCAATATTATATAAGACTTCAAACACATATTTAATTTACAGAATACTTGTTTAATTTTTAATTTGGTTTTCTACATGTTTATCACATGGCTAACTTATACCATAAGTCATCAACATGTGCAATTATCAAGGATATGAATCACAAAAAAAAAAAATCCTCAAAACATTCTTATATCATTGAAAAGAACTAGAAAGTCACTCAAAGATGATATGATATTGAACTAGAATGGTTATTGCCCAAAACAAGAAGACTAGAAAGTCTTAAAACAAGACTAAAGACTAGAAAGGCATTGACAAGAGTGAAGAAGGCTTCACTCTTGTCTCCATATATACTCTAAACTAAGAGTTCTATGACAATGTCCTATAGGACCTCCAAAACATGTTGACTTTGAAACACATATATCTTAACTTGCAAGGCAAGTTTTCTATATGTGTGCCACATAGTTAGCTTATTGTACAAGCTTTATATATGTGGTTAACTTGTTAACCGAGTTTTTAACCTATCAATCAACTACAAACACATGTAAAGTCAAAGCAATGTCTATGAAGTTTTTAGGAAGCTTTTTTAGAAGGTATTATAAAATTAATATACTTTTATGTACTTTTACTTTCTTCTACCTAATCATATAGGTATTTATTGGAATATCTATGTATATCCGTGAGATTATCTCCCCTTCTAAGAATAAGATCCACAAAAAGTGGTCTTCATATGTTGAGAAAATCTAAGATGTGATGAATTATATTTGCCACATACTCTGATCTTTGTTCTCTTCGAAGATGGTTGATAGATCCTCTCAACTATTGATGGTATCCTATACCAAGGCAATAAGACCATCCTATTATTTGATCATTGTTGAGGCCTTCATAACTTACTTCAAATAAAATATTTAAAACACCATCAAGAGTTATTCCTACTTCTAATAAAATCACCAAACATTACGAGTCTCTTCCAAGGTTGTGATACCAAACACATTATATCTTGCCATCTCTTTACAAAAAGACATGTCGTTCTTGAGGAACTTCATTTCAATTTTGTCATCTTAAAGGTTGTGACAATTACAATGTCTCATCCATATAGTTTTCAAATAAAAGCTTTTGAGTTGAATCTGTTCGTTGTTGGTTCTCTATCTCCTTAATATCACAAATACATAAAAGCTACAAAGATGAATAGAAGGTGGAGTGTTATCTTCCTTTGATCTTATTTCTTTTATAGCAAAGATTTGTCATTCTTCATCTTGATTTTGATAGATGTCATTGATGAAAAGCTTCAACTTTCTTTGCTGCATTTGTAAGATTCTTTGCTAACTCCTATGTACGTTCACTAATAACATATCTATGCCAATAAATAAGATATTCCAATCTATTTTGATATTGCCTTAAATCTAAAACTTCTTCTACCTTGAATTCTTGGTTATTATCTATTTTTGTAGGAAAAAGTGGTATTTATCTTCTTTCCAAGATATTCACTATCTTATATGGCTCAAGAAGAGACACATGAAATATAAGGTAGATATTCATAGATTCCAATAGATATAATTAATAAACAAGAAGATTGAATCATTTACTACTAGAAAAAAGTCCATGCCTATAATAGTCCAACTTATAGCAAGTTTCTCAGATTCAATTATGAAGTTGATCTATTTATTTCTTTGGCATATTAATCCTTACATCCCTCATATTTGTAATAGTAAGACTTCTCAAATTCAATTATGAGATTAATTTACTTGCTTCTTTCAGTTGCATAACTTCTTTGTATAGATATTGAATATCATTGTTGACTTCTTTCATAGGCATAGGAATAATATATTTAAAGATGTCATTGATAATATTTAAAATTTCTATTCCAAGAGTGTTGAAAAATTTATAAAGATTCATAATAGTTACAAATTTATTCTCATTTTGATCAAATATAGCACCTTAAATTTTTTCTTCTATCTCTATAATAAGCCACTTTGAAAAATCTAAAATTTAATTTAGAAGAAGATAATCTAAAACCTCTAATATTGAATAATAAAATTTATAAAAAAAAATCAAATTTTAAAAATAAAAAAAATTAATTTAAAATTAGATAATTTATAGCTTTTAAAATACAACAAAAGAAGTAAAGTAATTCACTCACTTATAAAATAAAACAATAATATTAAATTAAGACTCTTATGAAATTTTCAAAGATATAAATGATAAAAAATCAAAAAATCAATATACTCTTATGTTATAAGAAAAGAATAAAAAATCACTCAAAGATAGTATAATATTAAAATTAGAATGACTATTGCCATAAATAAGAAGTATAATAAGATATACATAAGATATTTGTATTATTGACACATAGAGATAGATAGTTGGAACCATGCTTGAGAAGTTATGGAAGTTTTTAGAATTAGGGCTAGATTAGTTGACCATGTAGGATCTACCATGGAATATTCTAGAAAGAATTTAGGACAATTATCTAAATAAAGCCTACTATAGAATCTTTTAAAAAAGACTTAAGATGGTTATCTAAGTGGAGTCCACCATAAAACCTTCTAAAAGGAATTTAGGACAACTACCTAAATAGGGTCCATCATCTAAGAACATTCTAGAAAGTTGAAGGTGGTAGAACAAAATATAAATAGGATTAGCCAAGGCATTCCAGGCAGCTGGTTAAGTATGGCTTCAGACCTTTTCTCTTAGTAAAGTTTGGTTTTCCATCTTTTTGTTTAGTTTTATTTTGTTTTATTTTCATTTGCTCAATTTTGTCTTTTGTATCCTATTTTGTTTAATTTTATTCAATTTTGTTTTGGTTCATTTTTTTTTATATTATAATGAGGTTTTATGTAGTTTTGAATTATAAGAGTCTTAGATTCTTTAGATAGACTGATCCTCTTTCATTGGTATCAAAATAAGTGTTAGACTATTCTTTGGTAGTGTATCGATAGTAATCATTTAGTTTGAAGTCAATTATTGTGGTTATTGTCGATATTATGTTAAAGCTACCACAAGCTATTCTTAAAAAATCAATTAAAATACGAGAAGACATTACAATAGTAGAATCTAGCAATGAAATTATTATATAGGAGATATGGTAAAGCAATCCGAGATGGATACTCAAATATAGCACCTCTAAGGCCAGATAGCTATTTTATAAAGGCA